CAGCCCTAGAAATCAAGACACTTAGGACATCCCCTACTAAGGTGAAGAGGAAAGGTGACAAAGGGTCTCCTTGTCTAAGGCCCCTCTTTGCAGGAAAGACGTCCCTAGCTACTCCATTCACTAAGATTGAGAAGTGACAAGAGGTAATACAACCCTTACTTCAATTGGAATCTAAATCTCAGGAGACCTCTAAGGGACCTAGAACTTAGTGATATCACTAGCTTCTTGCATACCTTGAGAGAGGTATACCTCTCCCAAATTTCCCCAAATCTCCGTGTTTGGACCCTTCACCCATCAAGTAAGTTTTCAACCAAGTCTTACTTCAAGGCTTTTTTTAGGGAAGATCAAGCTACTGATCAATACCCCTACAAGAGAATTTGGTGTGCTCATATCCCTTCCAGGGTATGCTTTTTTGTGTGGGAAGCCAGCTTAAAGAAAATCAATACTTACGACCTCCTTCAGAAAAAGAACCATGGAAGGTATTATCTATCTCCCCATGTGTGTTGTTTCTGCCTTAAAGCTGGGGAATCTAGCAACCACATCCTAATTCACTGTGAGGAAACTAGAAAATTTTGGAATTTCTTTCTATCACTCTTTGAATACAGCTGGGTATTCCCAGAAAATGTGGTTGATTGCTTAGGGCAATGGCCCGGAAGAGGTTTAAGCAAAAGAGGAAAAACTTTATGGCTGTTTGCTGCTCATGCTATCTTCTGGAGCATTTGGGAAGAGAGAAACAACCGGGTGTTTACCAACAGAACAAAAAACTTTGAGGAGCTGATTTCTATAATCTGTTATAGAGGTTTCTTGTGGACCTCCAACTCAATTTACTTCAGAGGAGTTACTTTTGATGACCTTCAAAGAAACACCATAAATTTTCTTCACTCTAATCATAAACAGCTCATCACTTCCCACAGTTTCAGATCTGAAGTGGAAGGGGAGACGATCTTGTACTTTGATGGGAGTGCTTTTGGAAACCCAGGTGCTACGGGTATTGGAGGGGTAATTCAAAACAGAAATGGCAACAAAGGCCGAAGTCATGGCAGCTCTAACTGGCATCAGAATTGCAAAAGACATGGGCTTACTAAACCTTACCATTAAAGGAGATTCAGCCAACACCATTAACTGGCTTTCTAACCCTGACAGTGGGCCTTGGGCTTTAGCCCATTACCTGGCTGAAGCGAGAGACATCCTCTCTTCTCTAAATGTTCATGTAGTTTGGATTCCGAGGGATAACTTTTTGAGTGCTTAATTGCTGTGTACATCTCCTCATGTACCTTTCTTTTCTTCGAATAAAGTTAACTTTTTCTTCAAAAAAAATTACACCATCTCTCCCCAAAGCCTCCATTCTTCAATACTTTTAGCAAGAATTCCCAATCCACCAAACCATAAGCCTTTTCTAGGTCAAGTTTACAAATCAAACCCTTTTCTCCTTTTCTTTTGTTGTAATCCACACATTCATTGGCTACTAAAATCTGATTAATAATTTGTCTCACTTTCACGAAGGCCCTTTGGTTCAGTGAGATTAAGGGAGGACTTTCTTGAGTCTTAGTGCAAGAACTTTAGAAATGAACTTATACAGACTCCCAATCAAACTGATAGATCTAAAGTCCTTGGGCTGAACTACAGGCACCTTCTTAGGGATCAAAGCCATGAAAGTAGCATTTGCACCCACGTTTATTTTTCCTCTTTCAAAGAACTCCAAGAAAACCTCCACTAGGTCATCACCTAAGATATCCCAACAGTCTTGATAAAAAGCCATAGTGAAACCATCCGGGCCCGGGGCTTTTGATCTTTCCATAGAGAAAACTACCTCCTTTATTTCTTGAACCACAAACGGCCTTTCTAGGGATTCCAACAACTCCCTTTCTCCAGCATGCCACTCAAAGTCAGTTAGAGTCTCTCTTACTCTACTAGGGCTGTCATAAATGGATTTAAAATGCTCCATAAAAGCTTTTGCAATCTCTTCCTCTCTTGTCAGCACTACCCCTTTCCATTCCAAACTTTCAACAATATTCTTCCTCTTTCTTCCACTTGCCAAACTATGGAAAAATCTTGTATTACCATCTCCCTCCTTCAACCACTTGCATCTTGATTTTTGTCTCCAGCTTATCTCTTCTTTTCTAAGAATTTCCTCCAAATCCCGTTTCAACTTCCATCTCTCTTCCCTTTCTTCAAGCCTCAATCCTCTCTCTGCCTCAGCAGCATCAAGCTCTTGAATCCTTTTAATAATAGCCTCCTTTCTACCTTCAATTCTACCATACTCTTCTTTGTTCCTAGCTTTGATCATGGCTTTTAGCTTTTGTAACTTCTTATAAAATCTATATCCCTTCCATCTAAACACCACATGATCCTCTTCCCACCACTCTTTCACTTTCTTTTGAAAGTTTGGATGTAGCAACCACATGTTTTCAAATCTAAAAGGGCAAAGTCCTCTTTCTAGTCTCTTGAGATAGTCTAACTGGACAATGATCCGACGTAGGTCTAGGTAGGGCCCTCATCACCAAACCACCCCATACTTCCTCCTAATCTAACGAGAATAAAAATCTCTAGTTTACAACAAAGTGGTTCTTCCTGAAAATTAAACTGGGTAAAATCAGCTTGCACCAATGGCAGCTCCCTCAATTCAAAAGAATCCACAAAATAGTTGAACTTCCTCATACTTGAGGTGATCCTATGGTTAGGGTTATTTGTTTCATTGACAAACCTGATGACATTAAAATCCCCTCTTAAGCACCACGGACCCTCCTACAATCCCCTTATAGCTACTAATTCCTCCCAAAACTCCTCCCTTTCTCTATACGAATTTGGCCCATAAACATTTGTTAAAGCCCATTCCAGTCCATCAACTCTTTTTCTTAATTTCACTATAACTGTATAGTTACCAATTAATTCTTTTGTATAGGCCAAATCCTCGTTTTTCCATATTGTCAAAATACCCCCCGAGGCCCCCCAAGACTGTGTGAAAGCCCAACTCAGTCCTCTAGCCGACCAAATATTTCTCACCCATCTCCTATCCACCTCTGATAGTTTTGATTCCTGAATCAACACAACATCTGGCTTTTCTTTTCTAAACATTTCCCTTATCACTCTTCTCTTCTTGGAACTCCCAAGCCCCTTACATTCCAACTAATAATCTTCATCGAGAAACAATCTTATGAGCAACCCTAGACAGCACTTTTTGCTAACCTGACTACCTTCCTTTTCTCCCAGAACACCTCTTATCATAGTCCACTTCACATCTCAACCCCTCCGCTTCACTCAATTTCTTCTACCTCCTTTTAGGTGTCCCTCCTTCAAGCTTTTTCTTAGATTTATCTTGTTCTTCCACTCTTTTCTTTTCTTGACTCTTCTTCCTATTTCTCCTCTTTGTTGTTTTTTCATTTGTCTTTACCCTTTCTCCCTCCCTTCCCCTAACTTGGGAACTAGGAACTGGAGTGTCACCCTCCTGTTCCTTTTCAAAATTCCCCCCTAATTCCTCCTCTACCAAGAGTCTAAAGGTTTACAAGATTAATCCCCAAATCCTTTCCCCTTAATCCACAGTATCATTCAGAGCCTCCACATCCTCTAAAACCTCTGTTACTTCAATTGAATCACTAGGACAGGCAGCTTTTGGAAGAGTGTCACTAGGACAAGCAGCTTTTGGAAGAGTATCACTAGGATAGGCAGCTTTTGGATGAGTGTCAGCTTCACCTGCGGGCCGAGACAAAACAACAACTGGGGAAGGGGGCATGTTAGTATCAAAAACTCGAGGAATACAAGAATCAAGACAAAACATACTAGAAACACCAACACCAGAAATATCACCAATTCTGCCTAGGTTTTGAGGGAGTTTGCTGGGAGAAGTCTCCTTAGGGACATCTTTCATCAAAAAGAAATGAGAACTCCTCCTTCCTCATTAGGAGGCCTAACCTCCTTGTGCTCAGGAGGCTTATGCCTCTTGCATTCTGAACTTCACCTCACACTTCCTGATCATGGAACATGGATGCCTCACAACACACCCCCGCATTTTAAAACATTGATACAAACATTTAGAAATTGGTCGACACAATCAAAGGACCCATGAACAATGATTAGAAACTCTTTTTATATCAGGGTTTATTTCATCACCTTGTTCATAATTTTACATAGTGAGATAAGAGTATCACATTGATGATACAATGATTTCTTCCACCATGGGACTATTTGGAGGTGTTTCAAACCATGAGGGCTCACTTCTTCGTTTCCCTCTTTTTTTTTCATTTGGTTAGGGGGTCACAAAGAGATCCATCCACCTTCAACATGCAGGGTTGCTTATTTTAAGGTATTGTTACAGGGGATCCTGAAAAGAAAATCAGGAATAATGCTTTCTGGTTTCTACCAAGATATTTTCATTCCCAGAAATCCAAAATGTGAAAGCTGCATTCCATAATCACAGTTATATTTCCTTACAGCCCTACCCCAAAATAATAGTAAGGAAAAAAAAATAAAACCATATTTCATGTGAATATCATCCACAATGTCAGGAAAGAAAACAAAAGCCAGAGAGCAGGGGTGGTGTACTGATATTCCTTTGTATTGTCATTCAAAGATTTGATGTTCTAAAGATCTTTTTTTTCTTACATGAACAATCAAGTTTGATCACATAAGATGTAAGATAAAGGGAAGATATGAACAAAAAGAAAATTCTGAAAAGAGCTTGTGCAAGCACCCACAATTTACAAGATGCAACCAAAAAAATATAACAATACAAAAGAATGATAGACAAATGACCCTACAATAGAGGAATAAGCAAATGTGGATACACAATCACTACTATATTGCAATTCTTTTTCCAAATCACACCATAATGTGTAGCATCACATACTCAGTATTGACATCTTCCTAGAATATACTACCGACCCAAGAAGAAATATGACTTGAAGTTGAATCAATATTCTGCTTCTGAAAAAATAAATTCTCCAGAACATAATTAAGAGTAAAAAAGAGTTGTAGAATAACAGCCATGAATTTGATCAACTTACTTCAAGTAATGCACGAATCGCCAGCTTGACTGTCTCTTGCCCAGAAGTTTCTTTGTAATTTTTCTCCAAAAATTCTCTCATAGAATTTGAATTTCTCCCAGTTGCATTAGCTTTCCAAGCTGAAAACGTCCCTGATGGATCAGTCTGATAAAGTGATGGAACACCGGTGTATGGATCAAAACCCACAATAAGTGTTGAAAGACCAAATGGTCTCACACCACCACTTTGTGTATACTTTTGTTGAAGACCGGCAATGTAACGTGTGATATATTCAACCGTAACAGGATCCTCAACTGTAAGCCTGTGACTCTGGCATTCAATCCGTGCCCTATTAATGAGTACCCTTGCATCAGCCTTTAATCCAGCACAAGCCAGTGCAATGTGATCATCCAGGTTTACAATCTTCCTAACCGTTCTGCAAAATTGAAGGAGCAAATAAATCAATAAGTAGGAAAACCCTATGAAAAGATAGGTGCAAGAGTGCATTAATGAACGCAAAAGAACAACCACAGAGATAACATGATTTGTATAAAATTTCACAAAGGGGGAAAAGGAAAAGATTATAGGTTATCTGCACAAAGCAGACAGGATTTCAGCTAAGAACAGATCGACATGAAACAGCCTGTAGATTAAAAACTAAACCTCCAGCCCTTCTAAATTCAACATGGGATGAAAATGAATGGTTTTAACATATGTTGCATAGACATGGCAATAACATGCAAACAATAAAGTGTTAGATATGCAGTTTATGCTAAAAACTAAAGTGGCTAACACAGTCAGCACACTTATTATCCATGCAAAATAGGCATAAATTCTTAACTAATTAAAAGACCAGTCCATGCCTGAGACTATGCAGAAGGAGATATGGACTGCAAGCACGCAACAATTGCAGTTGATTCTTACCAAGAAAACCCTGTCAACAAGCTTAACTGAAAATAGAAAAATGTAGTGAAATAAATAAATAGTTATGACAACGTGGGTTGCATTGCCATAACCATAACTTTCTTCTCCAAACCAAAAGTGTACAAAAAGAAGCTTTACTAAAGTTCTTTGACTTCTAGTGTTCCTGCTTGGCCATAAAACCAAATTGGTATGAGCCATAAAAGGGGGAAGGGATTTAAGAGTGCAGGATTAGCTTGAATTGCCTTAATAAGCCCAGCCAAATTTTCTACCTTTCCCTTTAGCTACACTAGAATCAAGACATTGCCAATTTAATATCATTCTTGCAGTGATTGTTCTGAGTATCACATAGAACACTCTAAGGTAATATAAATCCAAGAATCAATTTTACCGTTCCAGAGATCATAATTACAACTTAGAAAAGCAAATTACCAAACCCAGTAGTTCTCGATATTACAAAGAGAAAGAACATATATGAGTCAACAGAAACGTCGGCTGCGTCTTAAAAAAGCGAAGCAACTCCGCTGTGAAATATCACAAACCATGAGAGATGAGACATAAGGCTTCCGAAAAATAGCCATTAATTAAAAAAAAATCACGGATTCGTGCCACAAACTGGACAAAAAAAATCGAAGCCGCGTGTTCCATCAGCTATCTAGGATTTCAATAAAGGTATTCAAGACACAATCTACAGCATTTGAAACTCTGACCCCAAAAACAGCTTTGTTTGTCTAGGATCAATGTCATTTCAATCTTAGCCGAGATCTAAAGAAAACCAAATTCGAAAGAATAAAAGGAAAAGGGATACCTACCTTGAGTCTTGAAGCTTAGCGGTGGATTTTTTCTCGACGCCGAGGACGATAGTGTCAGTGCCTCGAACACCGACGGCAGCGTTACCCTTTCGCACGGCCTCAAGCGCGTATTCGACTTGGAAAAGATGGCCATCAGGAGAGAACACTGTGATCGCACGATCGTATCGAGCCATCTCTCTTCTCTGGTTTTGGTCTCTTCGGTATGAAGGTTCTGGTATTCGCCTTGGCCCGAGCGAGAAATTGGACGGACGGGGACGGGGACGGGGACGGGGACGGGGACGGGCCTCGAACTCGCAGTCTTGGACGACAAGGCAAGGCACTTCAAAATGTTTAAGATGCTGGAACTTACAGAAGCAACCAATGCAGTGTGTTGCTTCAAGCCTTCGAGGGGTTGCATTTAGGGGTGCAAATGGATCGGATCTCTGATCTTATTTGGTCGAATTCGGATCACCCCTATTCAGATCTTCGGATCACCCCTATTCAGATCTTCGGATCAACCACCCAAGCCGATCCGATATATATTATATATTTATAACTATAAATATTTTTATATTTAAATATCAATATATTTTTATATTTATATTATAATATAAAATAAACATAATATATATATATTATTTATTTATTTATAAATTTTTTATATTATTTATTTTTTTAAATATGATGAAAATAATTAGAACATACTATATTTTTTGTTTTTATTTTATTTAAATTAGTATATTTTATTTTTTCTTTTAGTAATTTAATAATTTTTAAAGAAAACAAGTCAAATTCGATCAAATCCGAAAGATCCGACTTATCGATAGGATTCGGATTCAAATCAAGTCCTATCAAATATGATCTAGATCCAACATGAACAATGTTGGATCAAATTTGAATATGACCTTATATTCGAATCTTATTCTATTCAAATTCGATCCTATTCATTTGCATCCCTAGTTGGATTTTCATTTAAGGAAATGTCCTTACTTTCCGCTTGTTCAATTGAACTAGTTCTCTTGATACCATCAAACTAGGGAGTATAGGACTAGGGTGGCCACAACCAAGCTTTTCATAAGTTATTTGAGTTTTGCTTGTGAATAGTTTGATTTGGTTCAGTTTGACCGAGGTTCGAGTCGAATTTGAGCCTAATATATAGGCTCGTTTGCTAATCGAGCTAAGCTCGAGCCCAATAAAATTCAGCTCATGAGACTTGTAAGCCTAATCAAACATATATATATATATAAGAAATATAAAAAATAATATATAAATAAATAATAAAAATGTTATATATATAATATTTTTATTTTGGGTAAATTGCAAGGACCCCCCTCATACTATGAGGCATGGTTTTTAAAACCAACCTAGAGACTGAACCGATCAGGGGTCCGGTTACTGGGTTGAACAATCTGACCGTTCTGACAAAAAAATAAAAAATAAATAAATAAGTGGTCAAAACCGTTCAAACGGTTAACTGCCCAAGTCAATGGTTTGCTAAACAAAACCAACGATTTTTGGAGAAAATCCGGTTTTGGGGAAAAATGGAACCGGTCACCTAATCGGTTCCTAGTTTTTCCAGTCACCTAACTGGTTCCTGGTTTTTCCGCTCCAACCGTTTGACCCGATCCAGTTTTGAAAACCACGCTATGGGGTCAATGACAAAGACCCCTGCACTTTTTTCACATCAAACACCCCTCTAAACTTTGGCCGTTAGACAAATACCCCCTTTGCTAGGTTTCCCTCAGTTAACTTCTAAAAAGGTTCTCATCTAACTGTTTAAAGTTATTTTAATACCCAAAATTCCCTATATACTGTTTCATACTTGAATGTTTGTTTCTGCAATCAATATCAGACTTTCATTAGAACTCTTGACTTTATATAAGGTTTGGTTTGAGAAAATGCGCCGGTGTCAAAGGTCCAAGGAGGATCGCCGAATTTGGACAAAGAGAAGAATGGAAAGAAGCAGCTTCGCATCGGTGGTATTGGTAGGTTAGTCCCGGCTCTAGCAACCAAAAACAGAGGATTTGATGTCAAGGTGTTTTCAGACTCTGGTGTAAACCATCTCAAACATTACTGTTAGTAGATCTTATGATGAGAAAGGTTCAGTTTATTAAGTTTTAAACGAGAAAGACTCTCTGGGGTTGAACCAGAGAAGTGATTACTCCCAAGATCAAGCACTTTCAATGTATGAAATCGAGTTATAAACTCTGAAAATTCCCTTGAAAAGTTGTTGTTGCCCAAATCCAAAACAACGTATGTTCATGCAAGTCGAGTTGGGCACTGCACTGCACTGCTGTCTCCAAGCATTTCAACTCCCTCGTGCCCTATGTCCATGATGTCTACATCAAGATTGATGAAGTTGTAACAATCAATGGCAACAAGGACGAAAGCTCATATTCTTCTTCCCACAAGCCCCATAGTTTCTTCTCCAATCTCCTCAAATACATGTTCTTTAACCTTTTCAAACCATTCCATCATCTAAGAAACAACAACAACACAAATAAAACCCTTCTCCCCCAAGTCTCTCAGTGTACTCTTGATCAAGTCCCCATGAATTTCCATCACACTCACAATCTATGGATTGAATTACCAACTGCTGATGTTGAAATTGACGATAGGGTTCTTCTAAAATGTAAAGCAGAGTTTGGAAGCACACTCTAAAATTGAAAGGAAACCAGTAACAAATCAGGGATCACTTGAGGACAACGGGAGTATACCAGAATCGTTTTACACAAATGGGGGGTTTGAAATGGCGAGTTTTGTGGACTATTAGCTCATTAATTGCTGCTTCTACAAGGCACTATTTATTGGAACCAATAATCAAGGATCATCCAACCCTGAAAATTGTGGCTTTTATAGATGGAAAAGGTCAGGGAACCTTGAGCATGGGTATCAAGCAGCTAAAAGGAATTTAGGGAGAAACCCTTGGCTGCATCAGCCTCTTTGAGACGGATTCAAGTGCCAGCCTCAAACATGAAATTGAGGTATGCTCCATATTTGGATCTTCGAGAGGGATTGGACATGCAAGGGGCAACGTCGTGGTTATCAGGCCATCTAGAGAAGGCAATAGGAGTATTAAAAAGGAGGTAGGGACATCTGTTCATGGGGCGTTTGGCGGGGGCCATTCAAGGCAGCAGTGAAGGCATTGATGAGTCGTAGAACAGAGCTACCTTTCAAGCATCAACGGCTCTACGGACGGTATGGCATCTGTTTTCAAAGGGATTTGTGCCTTCTTGCTAAACTTTTCCTATCAACATTAACTACTTCTTCTTTCTTCTTTGTTGACCTCTCTCTCTGCCACCTGTGGGTCTCTCGCTCTTCAAAGAAATGTTGAGTTGAAGAGAGATGTTGTTCCATTCAGGTGAGCTCAGCGATGACGTCTCTTCGTTGACCTCTCTCTCTAGAGTTGAAGAGAGCGAAGAGAGACGAGCTGTAGAGTTGCGTCTTTGAATAGATAAATGTTGTTCGGTTCAGCAAAGAGCATTTAAGAGGGGGTACCATTAGAGAAGATTGCAGTGGGGGTGGAAGAGGAGGAGGTGGCGACGATAGTGTTTGTGTTTGTGGCTACGATTAAAGGTATTTTTGGGTCCAATAGGTTTTAAGAGAGAATGGCAAGGAAAAGAAATAGAGAAAGTTTAATAGGGTATATTGATAATTTAACAGCTTCCATCATCTATCTTTACAGCCGAGGGGGTATTTGTCGCAACGTAAACGTTTAGAGGGGCCTTTGTCGCAAATTATAAGTATAAGGGCCTTTCTCACTGACCCTATAGCACCAAGGCAGTCTTTCTCATTTACCCTTTTAATTTTTATATATAATAATAACTAGTTATTATATTTCTTAATTTTTTATATGTATACGTTATTTTTTATTTTTATAAAACCTTTGGCTCACAATCGAGTTCAAGCCGAGCCGAGTTCGAATTTACAAGCTTTTGACTCTAATCGAACTTGAGCTCAAGTCTCTAATTCGAATCGAGCTCGAGCCTCATAATTTATTAGTGAGCCAAGCTCAAATAGCTAGATATTCAACTTGGCTTGGCTCAAATCCACCCCCCCTCCAGGTTTGATACAAGGGGGATCCATGAATTAGAACCCCGTCAAGCTAGCAGCTTGTTGGATAATCCAGTACCAATGGATTCACCATTCACATATTTTACACAAATTGTGCACATTCGTCATTATGGTTATTTGGATTGGGTGGGGTATCTTTTTTTCTTTCTATTACCATTACTACCACCACCCCATTTGTTATATTTCAACTATCATACCTGACTTTTTTGGGTTGAGTTCTGGCCAACTCGGCTCAAGTTGTAGCCCTAAGACAAACCCTCCATGGCCAACACAAAACAAATAAGGGGATATTGGATTCCCCTATCTAATACCCCTTAAGGAAGAGAAATGTCCTTTTAAATTAAAACTAGAAACTTTATGGTAGATATACAAGCCCATATTAAGTCACAGGAATCTTGTGAAATCCCATTGGTTTCAGAACCCAAATAAGGTAAAGGAATCATAGGCTTTTGATATATTAAGTTTGATAGTCATATGACCCCCTTTTACCTTTATTGTTTTGAGAAAATGAAACAATTCCTGAGCTAGAACTATGTTATCATAAAACTATACCTTGCAAGAATGAAAGCTATGTGATGGGGTGAAATACATTTGTATAGAATGAGCTTAAGTTTATTAGCCAACAATTTTGTAATTACTTTGTAAAGCACATTACAAAGGCTAATTGGTCTAAAGTGTTTAAACTATGAGTTCTTCACTTTTTGGAATCAAAGTTAAAAAAAGTATGAGTAATTTTACTCGCAATTTTTTATTTAAAAATAAAATATGTCACTCAATCCAAATAACTCAAACAAAGGCATGATAGTATGTGGTGGGCTATACAACCGCAGTGCATCTAAACAAATAAGATGTTTAGATGGTAATAGAAAGAAAAAAAAAGTCACACCCTAAAAAAGTCGAGTATGTTTTAATTCTACCCAAACAATCGAACAAAAATGCATCTTCCATTTGGAAACATTTTATAAAAATGAAAAGAACAGATGGACAAATGGTTTAAAACCAACCAATCAAATTGTAATTATTGCAATCAAGAGTTCAGATGTGCAAGTTCTCAAGGAACTAGCACACTTTCTAGGCATTTATCCAAATGCAATAAATGTCTTTTTAATGTGAAGGGAAAGAATCAACAAGTTTTGTCATTTCAACCAACTCCATCAAATGAATAAGGAAATGATGTCATAGTTAATTGGAAATTTGAACAAGAGTATTCTCGAAAACAACTTGCTTGGATGATAATTCTCGATGAGTCACATTTCAATTTTGTTGAACATGAAGGTTTTTGATGATGCACAATCTGGCCGGTCTTAGCTGTCAATGATCTTGCCTC